AGCAAAAACAAAAAGATGGTGTGGTCAGAAAAATAGATATCATAGTGACGAATTCAGTGATGAGGAAAGAGACAGATGTTAACAAAGCATGGAGACTCACATGGGTACAGAAGCGGACATTTGTAATTTATTGAAAAAAGATGATGTGAGTGGGGGAAGTGTTTTCTGCGTCTGAAACAAAGGCTTAGAATAAAAGCGCATTCAGGTATTTTCAACAACGTAGCTGGCAGTTTACGGAGACGTTTGGTGACAGATTTTTTAATGTCAACCCTCGGACTTTGGAACATGATGTATTAGGAACTTGGTGATGAACGAGCAGTCAAACAGGAATGCACGTGTGGCCGATGTATCCCCTGTGTTGAGGGGTTCTTCAACCAAAAAGTTATTAAGACTATCATGCCATTACTGAATGGCCCAACTATTTTAGGAAAATTTGATACCCTTTGTAGCATATTTTATGTACCATAACAACGATTCTGTTTTACAAGATTGTTCTCTCCTCTCTTTAAACCAATTAAAAAAGAGTCCTCAAAATTCAGGGGCGCCCTCTTCTAAAAAGCGCCCGCTTTGCGAACAGGGTTATCCTTCTTGTGTGAAAAAATTCAAAGTGAAACTTAGAAGTTCTTGCATAAATTATGATTAAAATTTCGGAATAACGCCTTTTTAATGGTTACGCTGACAAAATTCCTCTTCAGGTGGAAGGGGTGCCTGTTTTCTTCGCTTAATTTTGCTTTAGAGCGAGAGGCAAGAAGTCATTAAAATAAAATAATATGCCCAAAACTCCCCACAAGCGAACTGGAACAGCTGATGCACAAGGGGGTGCTATCCCTATTCTGATTCTGGAGAAACGATAGAGAGCTTCAAAACAAAGATTGCAGGGACATCTGAACCAATGCGCGGCCTTCCGCGCGGACACTGTTTTGGCCGAGTGAACTATCTTGTCATGTACAGTCTTTGACCATAATCACTACTCTATGATTCCCATTATTCAATATCTCTTTTCGTCATTATTCGATACCTCATTAGAACCATCATTGGATTTTTCTGTGGCACTGTGAATATTTGATACCTCCCTTGTCTAATCAGTATTCAATAACTACATAACCTCATTACTATTCGAGTTTCCCTAGCTCTGTTGTGATTATTCGATTCCGCTTATGCCGCTTAAATATTGTCCTTATTCGAGACCACTCTTACTATGCACTAAATAGGCTACTTCTCCACCGGCTCAGAATTTTCAATCAATATTCGACACTTACCTGTAGCAATGATAGTACATAACAAAATGGGCCACTTCTCTCTTTGAGCCAATTAAAAAAGTATCCTCAAAATTTGGTGGCGCCCTCTTCACAAAAGCGCACTCTTTGCGAACAGAGATACCCTACTTGAGTTTTTAAAAATCATAGTGAAACTAGCAAGTTTTGGGATAAATTTCGGAAGAACGCTTTTTTTAAATGGTTACGCTGACAAAAAACCTCTTCCGGAGGAAAGGGTGATGGTTTTCTTCGTTTAATTTGACTTTAGAATGAAAGGCGAGAGGTCATTAAAATATAAAAATAACTAAAACTCCGCACTGAACGTACCCGAACTGCTGATGAACAGCAGTCGATCTGAGCACGCAAGGAGGAGCTATTCCTATTCTTCTTCTGGAAAAACGAAAGAGAGCTTCAAAACAGACTGCAGTGCCATCTGAAGCAAAGAGCATACTTCCTGCGGACACTTTTTTGGCTGAGTGGCCCATCTTGTTATTCACTATCTTTGCCTGTACCTATCAATATTCGATGCGTCTTTTGTCCTGTCATATTTCGATACTTCTTAGCGTTATATTATTTGATAGCCTTCTGGTCAGATCATCCTTTTAATGACATCTTATTAAACTCATCATATTATTATTTTAATCTCAATTTCTTTTTACTGAATTTGAATAAGGTAAGGTGAAGTGGACTGAGATCACCTTACCTTTCGTACACATCAATAAAATAACGCCATTTTGTTTATATAGTTAATGTGCAGACATTTAAATTATATTATGGTTTTGCTTAGACTAAATTCACATATTTGTTGTTTCTAAATAAAAATCAATAAATGTTTCCTAAGGTATACAAACAATCGCAACATTTCCCCTGCTTCGAAAAAACTCCCTGCTTGTTTTTGTTTTTTTCATTATTTAAAGCTGCTTTTCTGTTGTTCTGTTCATTGTTGTATAGTTACACCTTTTTAGGTCATTGTAGGGCTAGGGCTAGGGTTACGGTTAGGGCTAGGGTTAGGGCTAGGGCTATGGTTAGGGCTAGGGCTAGGGCTAGGGCTAGGGCTAGGGTTAGGGCTAGGGCTAGGGCTAGGGCTAGGGCTAGGGTTAGGGTTAGGGTTAGGGCTAGGGCTAGGGTTAGGGCTAGGGCTAGGGTTAGGGTTAGGGCTAGGGCTAGGGCTAGGGCTAGGGCTAGGGCTAGGTCTAGGGCTAGGGCTAGGGCTAGGACTAGGGTTAGGGTTAGGGTTAGGGTTAGGGTTATTGGGTGTTTGAAGATTTCCCCTACCTTAGTCTGAGTCCAGTACGTCCATAAAACATGGTCATCACTCACAAATCCCATCCATACCATGTGAGTTCTCTGTAACACCAATGAATTTCAAGGTTATACGAATATTTCTGACCTGGCATCCGTCCAACCCAGCAAGAAAGTCTTCGACTCTTCTGTGACGGACTATAGGTGTATCCTGATGTGTCACGGAAGTGAGGCCCACCAATTTTTCCAAAGAGGTCAAACCAACCACAGTTGGAGCTGGTTGACCCAACACCTGTCTACGATAGGAGAAATACTAACATCTCCAAACGGTGTAAGAGGTCATGCCAGTTGACTACAATCCATTTTACCATTTTGTGTCAACTGACTAGCACCGAACAATGCTGGTCGGGAAAGTAGAGATTCAATATCTTTGAATTCAAATGTGATTTTTTTGTCTCTGTAGCATATACTTATTTTTATTGTTTATTATACAGGAACTCAAGCTTGAGACATGATGAAAATTAAATGCACACGAAGAAACGAACCCCAGCTAGGTGCAATCAAACGATACATGTTAATATAAGCTTTCAACCATGCCCCAGATAATGAGATGCAAATTAAGTGACCAAATTAAAAATCTTATTATAATTCAGCTGAGAATCGAACCCATAACCACCCCCCTTCGATCCAGATTAGAACCCAGAGATCAACGTATGCCATACCAAGGCCCTGTTCTTGCAGAATATCAAACAAAACCGGAGGGTTGTTAGACAATACTGAAAAAAGTCTTGTTCTGTAGTTTGGGTTGGTTTGGGGTTTTATTTGATATATTTGTAAAAACATAGAGGTCATCTTATCAACAATTCTAGTCATACAATTAAGGGGGGGGGG